TGGAAACCCTGTACAGGGTCGCTATGAGTTGGAACTGACTCCACGGCACCCAACAACAACAACAACAAAATATAAGTATACTATATATATATATAGTACACTTCTGGTGTGGTGCTGTCAGTGTGTTGCCAAGATCTATCTGACTATGAACCACAGGTTAACGGTTCAAACCCACCAGCTGCTTCTTGGAAACACTATATAGGATCGCTATGTGTCTAAATCGACTCTACGGCACTTAACAACAACAATAATAATTGTGCTAACACTGTGACTGCCTTTATTTTTTTGTCTGTGGTTCATGGGATTGCCCCAAGTCCTGAACAGGTGGGTGTCCTTTATGGAGTGCTAAGGTTTTTGTTTATCTTTCACTGTTAACTTTATTACTGTGGGATGCCAGAGAACACAGAAGTACTTTGCTGAGTCTACCAGTTGTAAGGAAGAGATGGTGAGATTGATGGATTTGCTTGTCTTTTGAAAGTTCACAGAGTAGCGATCCTGCTTTGCATTTGACTTAGAATATTCTTGCTGAATAAGAAAAAACATGCCTCCACTGGGAAGTTGTTTGTACCAGTACAAAAGATAAGCACTCCATCTGGCTTCAAACTTGCAGCCCAAGTTTGCATCTTCCCCTTCCTGCATTGTGACTGTGGTCGGAGCTTGGGTTACTGTTTGAGCCAGGCTGCATCCTATAGGGAAGAGGAGGAAACATGGTTAGTCTCTCTAAATATCTCAGATGACTCATAAGGAATAGAACAATTTATGGTACCAGAACAAAGAAAACAATCATATAGTGTTTTGTTTATCCATTGCTCTCCTTCTCTCTTAATTTCCCTGCCAGTTACAGTTTACATAGTCCTACCTTGAGTTCTATCAGGAAGATGAGGCCCTGTGTATGGGACTATACTTACTAAAACCAAAGAAAGCCATGAATGCCCATAGTAAGCCAGGGCAGTGCATCTTAAATTCTTTTCCTGGCTGAGACTCTCCTTGTTCCGACTCAAGTTCATAGACCAACCAGCCTTTCTCTGAGTGCCTGAAAGAAAGACTACAGGATTCCTGGGGTTGCTAGATAGTTGTGCTCTAAACAGGAAGTAAGATTTGCAAGAAATATGTTACATTGCTCTGTTCAGTTGAATTTTAATCTTGAACTCTAATCTCAGAATCACAAATCATAAGACAACTCATTTATTTTATTTTGAAACTTTCAACTTATTTTTCTCATTTTCTAACCAATATAGTAGCTTTAGAATTTGACAAAGGTCTGAAGGACGAATCTGGCCTTTTATTGAGGTCCTTCAGATCTGATTAGGGCATTATAAGCCAATTAAAACCAAACACACTGCAATTGAGTCTATTTTCACTTACAGCTATCCTATAAGGATTTCTGAGACTATAAATCTTTATGGACACAAAAAGTCTCATCTTTCTCCTACATAGCCATTATTGGGTTTGAACTGTCAACTTTGTGGTTAGCAGTCCAGTACTTATCCTACAGTGGTACAAGAAATGAAAATTCATATCAGATTTGTATCAGGTACAAGTATTCTAATCAAATAGGAAAAATTGAATCTACTAACAGAGAAAATTGAAACTTGAGAATGACTAAGTTTACTTTATTGAAGAAATATAAGGTTGTCTTAATAGCTGAAAATAATATGATCATATATATAGATACAGCAAAATTGTTTATCAAAAAAAGCTGTTGATAAAATTTAACATCCATAGCAAATTATTCTTTAAGATACTTATAGAAAAATCATACTTATAAACAATTATTCAGAGCTTTCCCCAATATTGAAAATTAGATAAGGTTATCTCTTACCACCTTTTGTAATCAACATCATGTTGGAAATCATAACCAGAGCATAAATGTAATAAATTAATATAAGAAATATAATTTAATGTTTGTGATGTCATATTACATATGTATAAAATGTAACAGATATCAAGCAATGACTAAATTTTTTTATTGTTGTTGCTAAGTGCCTTGGAATTGGTCCCAACTCACAGGGACCCTGTATAGGGTTACCAAGGAGCAACTGGTGGGTTTGAATTACTAATCTTGAAATTTGTAGTTCAGTGCTTGTGTTACAGTGTGACACCAGGCATAAGTGAATTTAGCATGATCATTGAATAAAAGGTCCCTATACAAAATTTTTACTTTGTTTCTCTATATCAGCAACAAAAACTAGAACAGGAAACTTTAAAAGATGATGCAATTGGCATTAAAATAAAATACCTAGTAACATATCAAATGAACAAAGCATAAGGGCTACACAGAAAGCTACAGAACATTATTGAGGAAAATGAATAAGTCCCAAATAAATGGAGTATTGAATTTTGCTCATGGTCTGGAAGATTCAATATAGTAAAGATGAGGTTTTCTCCAAAATTAATCTACAGATATTGTACAATAGCAAGCAAACTCTGGACAGGATTTTTTGGATGAAATTTGACACGCTGATTAAATGTATATGGGACTCGGAAGGGTAAATAATAGTCCAAGTAATCATAAAGAAAAACAAAACTGGAGAATTTATTAGACAAAGGAAAGTTTTTGTATGCTATTGAAATTAGGCTGGTATTTTCAAGTAGATTGTTACAAATTATGATGTTGTCTTAGTTTCTTAGTGCTGCTATAACTGATAAGGTTGTTGTGGTTTTGGAGCCAACTCTACATCACCTAGCAACAGCAACAATAGCTATAACTGAAATACTACAAGTGAGTGGCTTTAACAAACAAAAATTTATTTTCTCACAGTTTAGGATACTAAACGTCTAAATTGACGGCACTTGCTTGTGTCTGTACCAAATCTGCTTCTTTTCTATCTCAGAAGTGATTGATTTAAGACATGCCCTACACTGATTATGATATCATTACCTTAACCAAGAAAACTCTGTGCCAAAACAGGATTAGATTCATAGCCAAGATTTATTTAGTCCATAATGTTCATGGTAGTGGTTATGTGCTGTGAAATAAATTCTGACTCATAGCAACCCTGTATAGGGTTTCTGAAACTGTAATCCTTATGGGAGCGGAAAGCCTCATCTGTCTCCCACAGAGTGGCTGGTAAATTTGAACTGCTGACCTTGCATTTAGCAGCCCAACTTGTAACTCACTAAGCTACCAGAACTCCTTTCAGATAGAAAAAGGGATACTGAATGGTTTAAAATCAGGGTAGGTATGCATTAGGGTTGTGTCTTTCATCACACTATTCAATCTGTATGCTGAGCAAATAATCCAAGAAACTGAACTATATGAAGAAGAATGTAGCACCAGTATTGTAGGAAGACTCATGAACCTGAAGATGATACAAACTTGCTTGCTGCAATTGAATAGGATTTGAAGCATTTACTGATGAGGATCAAAGACTTTGGTCCTCAAAAGTGACACCTCTACTTACTAACACTTTAAAGAGGTCTTTTGCAGCAGATTTGGCTAATTCAATAGATTGTTTGATTTCATTACTACTGCTTCCATGAGTATTGATTTTGGATCCAAGTAAAATGAAATCATTGACAATTTCAATCTTTTCTCCATTTATCAGGATGCTGCTTACTGGCCCCATTGTGAGGATTTTTGTTCTCATTATGTTTAGGTGTCAACTGTACTGAAGGCTGTAATCCTCTGACCACGTTGCTGTTGTTGGGTGCCATCTAGTCAGTTCTTACTCATATCTACCCTATGCACAACAGAGCAAACACTGCCTAGTCTGTGCCATCCTCACAATTGTTGCATTTGAACCCAGTGTTGCTGCCATTGCGTTAATTCATCTCCTTGGGGGTCTTCCTCTTTTTTGCTGACCCTCTACTTTACCAAGCATGATCTCATTCTCCAGGTACTTAATCCTCCTGACAACTTGTCCTAAGAACAAGAGTCTTATCACCATCACTTCCAAAGAGCATTCTGGCTGTACTTCTTCCCTAACAACCTTATTTGTTCTTCTGGCATTTCATTGTACTTTCAGTATTCTTCCCCAACACCATAATTCAAATGCATTCATAGTTCCACAGGCTTCTTTATTCATTGTCCAATTTCAAAGACATTTAAAAATACCAAAATTTGTGTCTATGGTGTACCTTAGTGTTCAAAATGGCATCTTTACTCTTGAACACTTTACAGGGGTCTTTTGAAGCAGATTGCCTAATGTAATTTGTCATTTGGTTTCTTGAATGCTGCCTCCATGAGCTTTGATTGTGGATCCAAGCAATGTGAAGATTTTGACAAATCCAACATTTTCTCCACTTTTCATGATGTTATCTATTGATCCAGTTAAGAGGATTTTCAGAGGATTTTCATTTTCTTTATGTTGAGGTACAATCCATACATCATCAGTAAGTGCTTTAAGCCCTTTTTGCCACAAGCATGGATGCAGGATTGTTTCATTGGCATATCTCAGGTTGGTAATGAGTTGAGTCTTCCTCCAATCCTGATGCCACATTCTTCTTCATGCAATCTCGCTTCTCAGATTATTTGTTCAGCATACAGATTGAATAAGTGTGGTGAAAGAATACAAGAGGTACCCTGGCACACCCCTTTCCTGATTTTAAACTATTCAGTATTCCCTTGTTCTGTTCCAATGACTGCCTCTTGGTCTTTGTACAGGTTCCGCATGAGCACAATTAAGTGTTCTGGCATACCAGTTCTTCACAATGCTACACAGTCTGTTATGATCCACATACTTGAATCCCTTTGTGTAGTCAATGAGCAC